TACATATGAATGTGTTGATCTTCTGACTTTATAAGTTACTTCTCAACGATGTGAAGTGGGTCATTTCTGAACTTCAATGATCTAGATCTTCAAAGCACTGATCTCCATATGCGTAATCTGAATTCCTTCCCAATATCATTTCTTTTCTTTGTTTATCCTTGGAATAAATATATATGTAAATACATTTTGTAGAGCTGTCTGAGATTCTGTTGAGCACTGGGGAGAAATGGGAGCTATGTCTTATGTTGACTGTGAAGGGTATTCTTGTATCAGTTGTAATCCTTGGGCTGGGGCCCCAGTCATCCCAGTCTGACTGGGAAAAGTGAGACAGAAGTTCCCTTTGACCACAGGCCACCTCATAATCCCTCCATTGAAATGAACTCCTTACTTTGTGTAGAAATTTGCATCCCCAACCCCAAAGTGTCTCCTGTGAGGGATGGAACTTCTGTCCTGAGGATTTCTCATGAAGTCCTACAGCTTTCTCATCAGTTAAAATATCCTTCCTCTGCTCAAATGTGAGATAGCTTGATTGTTTACTTATTTATATATTTGCTTTTTCTCTGGAAAATTTGATGCACATGAGAGATGAAGAGGAAAGAAAACTAAAGGGAACACTAATATCTTTGATCCTTATTGAAATTGTCTGTTCTGTGCATGAGAGAGGTAACAGTTGAGTGCACATTTGAAAAATGTTAATGTATCGTGTCAAGGTTCTATTTATTCATGGGTCAGTTGTATTTGTGGGTTTTTTATTTGTTTGTTTTGTTTGTAGATTCTACATATAAATAAAGACATATGGTATTTGTCTTTCTCTGTCTGACTTGTTTTGCTTAGCATTATAGTTTCTAGGTCCATCCATGTTATTGCAAATAACAAAATACCATTTCCTTGGCTGAGTAGTATTTCAATGTATGTATGTATATGCCAACTACTTCTCAACAGAAGGAGGAGTTTATATTTGCTATGAATTTACTACAATAGTCTATTTGGGTGCTTGACCACCAAACAATTTTACTAAGTTTTCTCATGCATATTTAATGTAGGGATGGTGTGTATAGAATACTATCTAGATAACATCGTAACAGAGCCATTAGTCTAACTGGGAAAGTGGAGGTTCATAAAGTGGGAAAATAAAAAATAATAAATTCCGAAGAATACTGAATAGTCTCTCACTGACAATATGGCAAACGTGTTTAGCTCCAAATGTATATAGTTGTGCTTTCACATAAATGGCTCAGGTTTCTGATACTCATCCTGAGTTACCGTCCCTGACACATGTACACAGGCAGGAGGGCCATGGTGAAGTTCAGGGTGGCTCTCCCTGTCAGGTCACAGCTCAGCCCACAGGCTGCTCACGTCCTTTCTAGAACTGGTTATACCCCACTGAGGATGTTGCCCCACAGGTCCCAGGACTCAGTCCAGAGCACTCAGCTGCATGTTACTGCCTTGACTTCCCCAGCACCTGCCTCTGATGCCAGCTCAGAGCCTCTGCTGTGCCAGCTCCCTGCTCAGGCAACACACGTGCCCGGTGGGGACTGCCAAACAGAGAGGTTTGTGTTCGGGCCTGAACCACTGTGGGCGGATTGTGTGTACTTTGACTGCAGTAATAAACTCCCACATCGTCAGCCTCCACTCTGCTGATTCTCAGGGTGAAATCTGTCCCTGAGCCGCTGCCACTGAACCTGTCTGGGACCCCAGTGAAACGGTTGGAAACCAAGTAGATCAGGCCCTGTGGGGACTGGCCTGGCTTCTGCCGGAACCAGCTCAAATATGTGTTTCCATTACTGTGTACGAGGCTCTGACTGGCCCTGCAGGAGATGGAAGCCGACTCTCCGGGGGTGACAGGCAGCGAGAGCGGGGTCTGTGTCAGCACGACCTCCCCGCTGGATCCTAAAATAATGAGAGATAAGTACAGGTTATGGAGAAACATTATGAGCCATTATTAGGAATTTAAATTTCATTTATGATAGGCTAAATCATATTTTGTGATTTGATTCATACTCTAAATATGTCCAAATTCCATGGATAACCCAAGAATTGCAGGGCACAGAGTGGCCACATTTTTTTCTTTCAGCATCTCACTAAAGCACTGTTCTTCATTCCCTTTAGTTTCCTCATAGCTTTCACTATCTCAAAACTAATTCCCCTATTTGAGGGCAATCTCACCCCTGAATAGAGCACACATACAGACTAACAGCACCCAGACAGCTCACCCTCCCCACCCCAATCTCCTTCCTCATCCTCCTTCTGCTCTTACCTGGGACCCAGAGCATCAGCAGCCCCAGGAGCTGAGAAGGGAACCTCATTTTGAGAAGCTGAACTGATGAGTCCTAGTAAGTAAACACAAGCTCAGAGCTGACCTTTATGTCAGACTTCCAAGGCAAGGTCCTCCCTAGAGGGCAATATGCAAATCCAGTGGTGGGTGTGGCAGAGTGGAAAGAGCTGAAGGCAGTGGTCAGGTCCCTCTCCTGGGAGTGCAGAAACTTCTGTGTTTGGAGGGAAACTAACAGAGACAAATTCCCTACTGCCTTTGTGGGAAGCAGGATCTCCCTGTGATAACTGGGATCTGTGGCAGAACACAGTGCTCATAGACCTGCCTCCTGAGAAAGCTCCAGAGACCCTGATGATACAAGCACACGTGTCCAGAGTCCATTCTGGGAGGTGAATGGCCATCCTGCTTGGATTCCTGTCAGCTAATGACCAGGAGGAAACAGGTCCCAGTCCCTCTCCAGCTGATTGACGGGCGATCTCCAGATCCCAGGATGAACTGGAGATGGTTTAGGAGTCTCTGGGATTCGGTGCTTCCAGGTTAATGGTTTAAAACAATTCAATAATGATTTAAAATGAATTAAACTCATCCTGGGACCTCTTGTATTATTCTCTATGTGAAGATGAATGTAAAAAACTTACAGGGGTAGGAAAGAATCTCTCACTCACAAATAGAGAAGTCATAGTCCTGGGGAAGAGAATAGGGACAAAGACAGAATTTATGCTTCTGGCAGTGAGGATGCCCTTTGTCCTCATCATTTGTTATAATAAGGTGAGTATCAATCACACTTCTCTCTCTCTCCCCACAAAGACACACAGACATTCAGACGAATAGATACACACACATACTCCATAACAATAACGAAATTCCTTAGAGAAGCACTTCCTAAGAGGATGGGACAGAAGAATGATGTTTCATTTTGTAATGTTTCCTCTCAATTATCTTTTTCCTATGATGCTCAGAAGACCCCTTCCCATGTAGAGGTTTCCTCTTGATGTGTAAACAGTTGCTATCAGGGGTTCTGGTTCCTTGTTAGCTCTGTGAGAAGTTGTGTCTCTCCCTTGGCTTTTATACTTGGCATCCATAGACATGACTGTGCAGTTCAAGAAGAGATTGTGTAGGTGATAATAGCAAGAACTGGGTAACTCTTTGAATGTCTAGTGGTCACCTGTACCTATGACAGACATTTTCTGGGGTTTCGGTGAACCACAGTCACTGTGGAAGAGGGTGCGGGGTCGGTTCTGCTTGGGGCATCAGTTTACCAACCATCCTTCATTAAAGCTGGGACATAACCTGATGATTCGGCATGTGTCAGCCTGATGGAGGTGTTAGTCAGTTGTCTGTGAGAATTGTGTCTGCATGTATGTATATTATACATATATATGCATATGGACATACATTCACATATATAATTTTATTTATTTACTTTAGATTTAATCACATTTAATAAGTCTGAATTATCTGCAGAATTGGTCACCATTACTCAAAGTAATTGTAGTTAGATGTTTCTACAATAGGGTGAATTTTACACTTTTAATTCAAATATTTTTAAAAACATTTCTTCGTTTTGTATCTTCTTATAATGGATTTCCAAGTGTTCTTTTTTATGCCATTGGGTTTAATAAAAGCTGTCAATTTCTATGTGAAGATGTGTAAAAACTGCATTAGTCAGATTTTACACACTATTTTAACAAACCAGTCAAATACTCAGTGGCTTGTCATACTAAGCATTTGTTTCTATAGTCATGGATGTTCATGTTGACAATAATATGGATGATGCACACAGGGCTCAGCTGTGTGGTTTTTGTGCAGGGAGATGAATGATCTCCAGCCTTTGGATTGTGGTTGATCTGGGTCCAAGACAGAGTGTGGTGACTACCCATGGCACATCATTCTCATGGCAAGCTGTAAGAAGGTACAGAAGCCACAAAATGAACAAATCTATGTCCAGTTATTCTGACAGAATTGCATATAATTTTGATATATTTTTACTGTGGTCTTTGTAATTCTTTAAATTTCTACAAATCATTATTCTATTTAATTTTTAAGATAAGTGGTCTTGTTTTTTCCAAATAATAATATTTTTCAATATTTTCAGTCTACAAAGAAGTTTGTAATTTAATTTTGTATGAATTAGAAAGTTAAATTGGAGGGGTTTTCATCCTGTGGCTTTAATTCAACAGGTGGCTTTCAACAGAAATGTCTTAAACGAAAATAGATAATTAAAGAGAGACTACTTTAGGATAAGTAAAAATGCTGTACAACAGAGCATCTTAAAGCTCACATAGCTCTCCTGCCATCTTGTTAAAATGGAGAGCCATGTGAGCAGGTGTCAGGTGGAGACAGATATTTTGCATTTGTCACAAGCTTTCAGGCTTGTCGATGATGCTCTGACTTATAAGAGAATTTTAAGCAACAAGGTATACTTATATTAAGAAAAAACAATGCTTCATCCACATTTAGTTTTTTTTTTAATCATGGAAGTCCATCATTGTCAAGTTATTTCTATATACATGACACAATTTCCTCAACTTCTGTTCCCTGAGTCACTTAACAAAATCTTCTTGTTATGAATTCAGAACTAATGATGATAGCTAGAAACATATTCAAACATATTCTGGGGCCGTCCCCAAACTGGCCAACTTCTGAGAGATGTGAAAAACAGTGACCATCACAGGCTGTCTTCTGTCAGCTCCCCGTCACCACCATCACTTCTGGAAGCACATTTCCCAGAGCCCCCTTTCTTCTATGGTTCCCTATGGAGTTGCCCACAAGACACCTTACCCTAGATCTGGAGGTCAGAAGAAGAGGATTCAATGCCTTCCATGAGCACTAGCAGGCAGGTGAGTGGTAAGTGAGGGACCAGAGAATCACCTGCGGAGGGGTTGCAGCGGCTAGAGCACCAGCACCTCCATCCCTGGCCCTCCTAAACAGGCCTGAGGACCATGTGGTTAGGCAGCCTGTATCTCCAATGGTATACATTCTCTGACTTATGGTGCATCATCAAGGAATCACTGTTTCTAGTGTCTGCTTCCCTTATTATATCCCCAGGCCTTTGAAACAGTGATGTTTAAACATTACGTACTTAACGGAAGCAATTCCTGCTTGGAATACCTAGAGTGGCTTCTCTTTTGCTGCATAAACCCCGACAGATGCCTTGATCCACACTCCTTGGGTGTAATGATCCGGGGGAAGGGGAGTCAGTCAGGAGGCCGAGGAGCCTCCTTGCCCTTCTCCCAAAGCTCCCATGACCTCCAAATTGGGGCTGCCTCTGAGAAACTTTCTGAGCAGATGCTGGCATTAGAGGAGCAGCAGGGAGAGCCCAGCCCCTCACATCTGCCTCCCTGGTGGTTTATGCTCTGACCTGTAACACTGTGGGTGGGTAGCTGTTAGACTGCAGGCAGTAGTAGGTCCCAGCATCTTCAGGCTCCAGGCTGCTGTTGGTGAGAGTGATGTCTGTCCCAGACCCACTGCTGCTGAATGGCTATGGGACACCAGTTTCCAACTTGGATGCTTCATAGATCTGGAGCTTAGGAGCTCTCCTTGGCTCCTGCTGATACCAGACTAACCACTTGTTAATGTTCTGACTGGCCCGGCAGGTGATGGTGACTCCTTCTTTTGGAGTCATGGACAGGACGGCAGGAGACTGGGTCAGCACAATCTCACCATGGAAGGTTGAAACCACACAGGAAACATCAGCAGAGTCTCAGGATATGTACATGGAAATCACCAATATCTAGTTAGGTAGGACAGAGAATACTACTCATTTTTAAAATAAGCCAAATTCATCTATGGTAAGGTTTCCAATGAAGAAAGAAAATCAGGGATGGAAAATCTGCTTTGTCCAAATATTTTCACTGGAACCCAGAGGAGCAGAAGGCCAAGAACTGTGATGGAGTCACCATTTTGCTGCTTTCAATGGATCCAGTGTGTTCATGCCACACACCCAGAGACTCTGTTATTAGACTCTGAGAGGCAGAAACACTTCAGATCTAAGAGGAAAAATATATGCAAATTATGTGGCATTCCTATTGCTTAAGTACTCAAAAATTAATTTTTAAAAAAAATTTTTTTAAAGATTTTATTTATTTGTCAGAGAGAGAGAGAGGGAGAGAGAGCAAGCACAGGCAGACAGAATGGCAGGCAGAGGCAGAGGTAGTAGCAGGCTCCCTGATGAGCAAGGAGCCCGATGTGGGACTCGATCCCAGGACGCTGGGATCATGACCTGAGCCGAAGGCAGCTGCTTAACCAACTGAGCCACCCAGGTGTCCCTCAAAAATTAATTTTGTCAAAAGAATCCCCCCTCACTGGGCCCCATTCTTTCCTGTGTGTGTTAAGTCTCCCTCTTCTGGCCATGTGGAGGTTTTGAATGTATTTACCCCATGCTGGGCCAACTACAAGGTCTACAGCAGGGGGCATGGCATATGATCTAGAGCAGTCCTCTGATGGAATTCCCTTTCAAGGCAGTGAAGAGCTGGTCACATTATCAGTCTCGGCCCAGGGCTACATTAACTCCGTGCTCTCTGCTGCAGTGCGTTGTATAAACATCCCTCAGAGCATCCTGCCAGGCCATCCTCTATCAATTACATCCTGTTAATTGCACACAATGAGTGAGAAATATTGAGGACTTCGCTAACTTGGAAAAACACATGTGCTCCAACATTGGGATGCAAACCCTACAAAAATTCATCTGACCCCCTTCCCTGGTGTCTATGTCAGGGGTCCAGATATCTGAGGAATGCGGGCACATCGTCTCTGAGGTAAAGGGCAAGTACTTGTAACTTGCACATTTGACCACTGAGGTTGAAACACAGCACCTTGTTGAGTGTTGAGTGTTGAGACAACACAATCCACACTTGGACAAGCTACACCATTCTGTTTTTCAGCTACTTTTGAGGTCACTATGTAGAGTGGGTGCAGAGCCAGGAGGAACTCTGTATCGGGTTTAGATCATGATGCAAGTGGCCCTATCACCTGGGCCCTGAGACCTCTCCTATTATTGGTTTTACTTGCATCTGTGTCCAGAAGGATGGTGTGGACACTCTGGCAAGGCCAGATGAAGA